TCCAGACCAATTTCCAGATTCTGACAATATTTATTTTGTGTGACTTTGTTATACTCAAGTATACCTTCTCCTAACCTGGGATTTTCTCTCTATCAAGGTGTTATGACCGAGTAAGCGAGAAGAAGTTATGCCAGTAAATTAAGTTTAATTAATTATGAATTTATTAAATGCATGGGTCAAGAGTTGGCAAATGCCAGAAAAACTCATAGCAAATTGGTGCAGTTTGTGACAAGCTTTTATAGGTAAAATTTGCAGCTTTGGTTACATAGCAACTTAGTGACCATAGCAACTATTAACTAACAACTTGGCAATCAAAATGGGAACTTTGATTGTTAGGGAGCTTTGATTAATTTTATGTCAGGTAGGTATAGCCAGTGCTCAGAAAGTCACTGGAGTTCTGCCATTAAGATATAGTTTAAGGTAGTTACATAGAGACAAGGAAGAAAAGTCTTTATATAATGGAGTTACCTTGGTTAAGTCACTAACATAATATAAGAACAAACTATGAAAATGTCAAAGTGTAACATTTGATTTAGGTTAACAAAGCATACAATAACATGGAAGCTATCGCAAAGGAGTTGTGTAATGATCAGCAGGCAACAGTGAGCATAACCTGGCCAAAGGAGACAAAGCTGGGGTGTCTGTGGTCATGGGAACATTACTGTAATCACACGTCGGCATTGATTCTTAGGTCAGGCAGGTAACTAAGATGAAAGTTTTAAACAAAATGGAGTAAACTAGTTAATATTATTACTTTACTAGCAATTTGATTTTATTAACTGATTTAGCTTATTTCAAAGGTATCCTAAAGAAAATATTAGAGATATCACTACAAAATTGTGATAATTGGTAAAAAAAATTAAAATTCAATATACAAAATCAACATACAAAAATGAAAACTTTTTAAAGGAGCTATACAAGATGTATGACAAATATTTTGATTCAGAATTTCTGGAGTAAATGATTATATTTTCTTTTCTTTTTGAAATTTTAATTACTTTTTATTGAAAACTGCACTAAACGCTAAATGTGCACCTTTACAATAAACAAATACAGTAATGGTAACTCACTAAAACAAAACATACTTCTGATAGCCATTATTTTTTCTGTTTAGGACCATTTTAAAGTTTTTCTTTTGTCACAAAAACAGGAATGTACCTATACAAAGGCTCAAAATAGGCCATTTTTTAAACAGAAAGGCAATGATTCACAAAAGACTATGAATAGAACATGTAACTAGTTGATACAAATCTAATAGGATTTGTTAAAATCAGTCACATCTGAAGTGTTCTTGTATTAAATATCACGTGAAGAAAAGACTTTATCAATGTCTAAAAAAAAGTGGGTTTGTTCATAGACAATCTGACAAGTTACCATAAAAAGTGTTTCCTGAGACATAAGGAAATGCAACATTATTCTTCTTGAACCCCTTTAGTTGAAGACTTTCCACTCAATAAAATAGCAGAGAATCTGAAACTGAGAAAATATATTTGAGTACAAACAGCTTGTGAAACTTAATACTTTCTTTCTCTTTTTTTTGCATCATCAGAGGGTTTTCCTGAACTTAATCAACTTGCCTTCTCAGCATGCAGTTCAGATGTGAGAGACACTTTTCTGTTCAGGAACCTGCACTGTCTGCAATCCTATGTGTGCAGATGACTAACACAGGCGAACAGTTTTTCTCCCCATTTTGTAGTAATGCAGTCTTCCTATTAGCAAAAAGAGGTAACCAGCCCCTGTAGACTGAAGGGACTAGAGCCATAGGATGGGGATTTCCTCTTAATATTTTTTATTTTGATATTTGGAACTCTTGATGCAACATTCTAGAGCAGGGTGATCAGGACCTGCTGTGCCCCAGGGACTGAAAACGGAAAAAGCTATATTTATCCTTTGTGATTTGATGCGCAGATGAAAAACTTAACACACAATAACAGAAGTTGGTCGTTAATAAATCACAATCCTAGTCTTTCAGTGCTTCCGTAAGCAGACGACATCTTCAGTTTTAACACTGCAACATCAATGATGCATATGTCCAGAATCAGATGAAAAGACTGTCAAATTCCTTTTCTCTTAGTACGTCTATTTTTCTTTCACTGTCTCTTGGTCCCAAGTTTATCTGAACGATTGATTACCTTCTGGCATTCTTTCCTATTGCTCGTTGGGGTGCTCTCGATTGTCCCCGTGTTCTGTGGGCTGGTTGGGAGAGGGAGCTTGGGAAGGGTGTGCCACTGTAGGGAGGCTGTGAGTCACTGGGATGCCTTCAGGGATGTTCCCTTCCGTGGCTGCAGGAAGTTCTCCCGGAGCCTCGCCCCCAATGCCTGGCAGATATCTGTACGTGGCAACCCTGAGCTCGGGATGAATTGCTTGCTGGTCTATTACTAACCAAGGAGCTGACGTGACAAAGAATTCCTTGTTCACACAGTTTCTTAAGCTTTCCGGGATGCAACCTGTGATTGCTCGGCAGCCTCCCTCATCTCTAGTGATGCTTGCTCACTCTACCAGACTGCGTGGGCGTGCAGATGAGATTTAGCGCATCTTTCAACGGACCTTGAGCAAAGCTAAAGGGCTCTGACTCGTGCACTTCGAGGGCTGCCCCTCGTATCCTGCCCTCCTTGAGGGCCTGGGCTAAGGCTTTCTCGTCCACCAGGCCACCGCGGGCTGTATTCACCAAGAACGCCCCTTACCTCATCTGCTTTATGGTAAAGTCATTGATGAGGTGGCGGTTATGTTCTTTGAGATTGCAGTGAAGGGGGTCGCAGTCGCTCTGATACAGCAAGTCCTGCAGGGTGTAGACCCTCTGCACACCCAGGGACCACTCTATCCCGTCCTGCAAGTAGGGGTCATAAAATATGACGCTGAATCCAAAGGCCTTGGCTCGAATAGCAACCGCCTTTCCCATGCGACGGAAGCCAATGAGGCCCGGCGTCTCCCCATGGATGTGGGCCGCTCCCGAGGCAACCTTGCAGATCTTCTCCACACTCTGTACCCATGTACCTTCCCGCAGCGCCTGGTACAGTCACGTGTTCTGCCCGTACAGGTTGAGGATGTGGCAGGTGGTGGAATCGGCCCTCTCCTCCATGGCTGCAGATGGAATGTTGCACATGGTGATCCCCAGCTCGTCGGCAGCCTAGATGTCCAGGTTGTCGGAGCCGCTGCCTATCCGCTAGATCGCTCGCAGGGCCTTGAACTTCTCCAGGTCCTCCCTGGTGAGGGTGATGGTATGGTACATCATGGCACCCACAGCTTCGTTTAAAACCTTCTCATGAATCTCCTGAGTGGACTGAGCGTCACAGAAGGCCACGGTGGCCAGGTCCTTCAGGAGCGGCAGCTCCACGGTGCAGTCGCAACCGTCCAGCGGTGCCCCCAGGGGGCGCGGGTGCAGGGGGCCGTTCATGATCTGCGGACGGATGCCTTCACAAATTCTGTCCAACCGCTGTCTCTTGACTTTGTGCTTATCCACAAGGATCATTTACGGAACCTTGCAACTCTCAGATTCAAAAGGCAAAGCAGTCCTCTGAGAACTTAGGAAAACTCGCAGGAGTCAGCGTGCATTATGCCACTATGAACCCAATATAAATCTGTCCACAAACTCTATAGTTCACACGATGGCTGTCCATCCTTTTAAGAGAATACAGCTTCATTGGCTCAAAACCATTTACGGTGATGAAACCCCTTTGCTTGCAACTCTGCCACCATCGCGCAATCAATGAACCTTTCCAAGTGTCCAGTGAGAGGCCAGAGACACTGCGATCCCAGGTCCGGAGCACCTAGGACCCGCGATCCCTGGGGGTGGAGGGGTTGGGACATGGTCCAACCAGGTCCCTGCTTCTGCTCTGGGCCTCAGTAGTGGGCCCCATCCCACGTCCCTTGAGGCTCCTCCCCTGCCGGGGCTTGCTGACCACAGGGGCGCCAGTGACACCACTGGTCTATGATTATATTTTCTTAAAAAAATGTTTACAGTTGATTATAATGCAAAAAAAACCTTAAAACCAATTGATACTAAAAAAAACTACAGCCTTAGTATTCATTATAATACAGCCCCTGCCACTGGAAAATGAAATATCTAAATATATGGTTTTTTTTCTATTTGTTGCCCTGCTTGTAGAAATGTGGAAGATTTTTTGTGTGTGCACCAAAATCAACACCCATGCAATAGGGTGACAGCTCATGGATTAACTGAAATATATTTTGCTTCTCTTAGAAAACAGACAGATAGATGAAGACACACCTTTTAAATGAGTTTTACTTTGTCAATTCAAAGTCATATTTCTTAATCCACTTCCATGTGTTCAATAAAAACTTAACACATACTGTAATATGTCGTCTGAGCATCATAGTTTGCAAATATTTGAATATTTACATTTCCTCAGAAGTATTTTAATGAGAAGTTGAAAGACAATGCATTGAGGGTGTTAGTCAAACATAATTACAAATTTTTAATTAATAAAATATGTGACATATATGATTCAACTTGAATACCAGATATCATTAAAGCATACATTCAAGCAAGATTTCAGACCTCAGTCATATGATCTAAACTTGTTAAAAAAAAAAATCAGCCTTTTCTGCTGATTTCGGTTATTAATCGATCTCTCCCTTTTTAACCTCTACTTATAATCTAGTCATTGGTTTTATTATTGTTTATAATTACCTGAGCAAACACTTTTTCTTTCATTGCACACTAACCTTTCCTCTCATTTCAAGTTTGTGTAAATCATATATTTTAAACTTAAACACAATGCACAAATATGCCTTAATAATGAATACTCCTTTAAAAAAATGATTGTTTCATTATAAATTCATAGGATTATTAAGTGTTTCATTATAAGTGAAAAATGTAGAAATTATCTGTGATATAACTATGAATGTATCAAAGAAAAAATCTTATAGAATTAATACAATGTTAGAAACACAGTAGCAGAAATATTTGTTCTCTTCTTAATCGCAGGTTGCACTCTTCATTCCAGCAAAGTACAAAAATGTCCATTATTATTTAAGGATTATAAATGTGTTTCATTCATTTCTTTTCTTTCATTTTCTGATGCATTGATATCCTTTCCTTGATATTTTTTCTTTATAGAGAAAATTGATATAATAAAAAAAAGAAGTGCCAAAAAACTCAAACTTGAAGTCAAGCCCAAGTAGACCCTTCTGTGAAAAGAGAATAAAATGGGAAGATTGTTATTTAATAATTGTGCAGAAAAACTTAAAACATTTTCTAAAAGACCTAAAAGAAAAAAAATGAAATTATACATAAAAATATTAAGACAACAATTCTAGTAAGTCTTTTCATTTGAGGAATAAGGAATTTTGTTATTGTAAATGGATTATGAAGCAACAAAAACTAAACTCCAGCTGTCTTTAGTTTTTCTTGTGGAGGCAAGAAAATACACAATTCCAGTTTCCTCAAGCTATTCTGTTTAGCTAAGTAGGAGGAAGGAGAAAATGAGAAACATAGAGTTTATAGTCTAGAGCTACAGATGTACTAAAACACTGAGGCCTGCCTAATCATGGGGCTATAGAATGCCATCCCTTCTCCAGCATCTTACACCACATTACTAAAAGGTTATTTATGACAGTTCCTTTAACCCAATACATTCTGGCTCACTCTTAAGAAGAAATACAAGTTCTATTAAAAAGCAAAAAAGGACAGTTTGGCTTTGCAGAAGCTTGTCAGTTTAATAAGGTCCCACTTGTCTATCCTCTCTCTTATGACCTGTGGGTTTTGGGTTTTGTTCAAGAGAGCAGGGAGACAGCCTCCAGTATTTGCCAACACCAGGTCAAATAAAGGCTTAACATCTTTGATCTACAAGGAACTCAAACGTGCTGAAAAGAAAAAAGTAAACAACCCCATTATAAAATGGGCAAAAGACATGAATAGATACTTCAAAAAGGAAGACATCTGAGCAGCCAACAGACATATGAAGAAATGTTCAACTTTACTAATCATCAGGGAGATGCAAATCAAAACCACACTGAGATAACCACCTAACTCCAGTCAGAATAGCAATTATCAACAACTCAAAAATAACAGCTGCTGGAGAGGGTGTGGAGAAAAGGGAACACTTCTACACTGTTGGTGGGAGTGTAAACTAGTGCAACCTCTGTGGAAAGCAGTGTGGCGATTCCTAAAAGCTCTAAATATCTACCTCCCATACGACCCCGCAACCCCCCTACTGGGAATATATCCGGAAGAACACAAATCACTCTACAAAAAAGACACCTGCACATGTATGTTTATCGCAGCATTGTTCACAATAGCAAGAACCTGAAAGCAACCATGCTGTCCATCAAAAGAGGATTGGATTAGAAAAATGTGGGACATATACACTATGGAATACTACGCAGCCATAAAAAAGAACAAAATCATGAATTTTGCAGCAACCTGGATGGAACTAGAGTCTATAATACTGAGTGACCTCTCACAAAAACAAAGGTCCAAGTATCACATGTTTTCACTCATATAATGGACCTTGAACATCCAATTTAATACTATAAGAAAATGACTGACAGTAGTGGGAAACTATGGGGGGGAGAGGGAGATGGGATTAACGAGCAAATATCTCTCTGGGGATGGGGAAGCACCTCTAATCAATAGGGTGCCTGAATGAAACATATTTGCATACCTAACCCTTAACTGTACCCCACAACATCATAATAAAAATATATTGATTATTGAAAAAAAAGAGGACAGTTTGAAGAAAATGAGGAAGTCTTAAAACAAGACCCAGATATGTCAGAGATGTTGGAATTATGAAAATGGGAATTCAAAACAACTATCATTAACATGGTAAGAGCTCTCATGGATACAGTAGACAGTATGTAAAAATAAATGGGCAAGGTTACCAGAAAGATAAAAATTCTAAGAAGCAAAGAGAAATATTAAAGATCAAAAACTCAGTAACAGAAATGAAGAATGCCTTCGATGAACTTATTAGTGGATGTAATAGAGGTGAAAATGATATAGGTCAAAAATTTAGATATACATTAAGAAAGGAAAAGCATCAGTGAAGAAACAAGGCAAAATAAAGTATTTTTAAATTCTAAATTGTTCTGTCAGATAATAGTTTGTTCAAAATCATAATGGCAGCATTGTGTTTAATTATATAAAATATACATGATTATTCACATGTTTATGTGTGCTTATATTTAAGTGAAATGAGTGACAGCAATGACACAAGGGATAGGAAGTAAGAATTAGGGTTATTTTGAAATTATGAGGTACTCACACTACCTGTGGAGTAATATAGTATTCTTTGAAAGTGAATTTAGGTTAGTTATAAATGCATATTGAAAACTTTGGGAAAACTACTATTTTTAAAAAATAAAACTGATAAGTTAAAAGGAAGAAGAAAAATGGAATACTATAAAATAAAACCACTTTGGGAAAAGAATGGAAGACAAAAATCATATTGAAGAATAAGGACAACACATGGAAAAACTAATAAATATGGGTAATATTAATTCAACTGGATCAGTAATCAATTTTAACACCAATGATTTAAAAGCACCAATCAAAAGACTACACTTTTTAGAGAATTTTTTAACAAGTACCAAATTATATATATATATAGATCTTATTTGTGTGTGTGTGTGTGTGTGTGTGTGTGTATACACACACACAAATATCTATATAAAGATACATAGTTTATAAAAGTAATTGGATAGGGGATGATACACCACGCTAACACTAATCAAAAGAAGGTAGAATTTGCTATACTAATTTTAAGCAGAACAGGATTCAAAGCAAAGCAAGTTATCAGGGATCCTAAAAGGGCTTTACATAATAATAAAGTCAATTATCTATTATCTTTTTAAAAAAAACTATTCTTAAGAAGCACCTAAAAATAGTGTCTAAATATGTGAAGAAACAATAATAGAACTTAGAGAAGTAATACAGTAAATCTTCACTTCCCATTGTCATTAGGTTCTTGGAAACTGTGACTTAAAGTAAAGTAATGTACTATGTAACAAAGCCAATTTTATCATAGGTTAATTAATATAAACAAGAGTTAAGCTCCTTCAGAATATAGTATGTTAAAATTGCTTTCTAAGAACATATCAATGATTTTAAGGAAGGACTTACTATAGATGAATGAACTATTATGGTTGGAAACTTTTTGACACACTTTAGAAATGGACAGATTTGGCAGGCAAAATCAGTAAGGGCATAGCTCAACTCAGTAACACCATCAATCAACAGTACTAATTAACATGAGTTGAAAAATTTATCAAACAGTAACAGAATACACATTCCTCTCAAACTCACATAGAATAATCACCAAGATAAATCACATTCTGGGCTATAAAACCTACTTGAACAAATGTAAAAGAATAGAAATCATACAATGTTCTCAGACAATAGAATTAAACTAGAAGTCAATACAGAAAGATAACTGGAAAATTTCAAATTGCATAAAGATCAGTAATACACCTCTAAATAGTATATGTCAAAGAAATCTTATGAGAAATTTAAAAATATTTTGAATTAAATGAAAATATAATTTATCAGAATTAACAGGATGCAGCTAAAACAGTGCTTATAGAAAAATGTATATCATTAGTGCATATATTAGAAGTAAAGTAAGTTCTAAAATCAATTATTTAATCTTTTTTCCTCAGGAAACTAGAAAAAGAAGAGTAAATTAAATACAAAGTAAGCAGAAGAAGAGCAAATTAAATGCAAAATAATAATAAAAATTGAGCAGTATCAATACTTGAAAACAGGATATCAACAGAGAAAGTCAACACAACTAAAATCTGTTACTTTACAAAACATGAATAAAATTGATGAGCTTCTTGCCAGACTAACTAAGAAAAAAAAGGACACAAGTTACTAGTGTCAGAAATGGAAGTCAAAATATCACTGCACATCCCTTAGACACTAAAAAGTTAAAAAATAAATACTATACAAAAACATTATGCCCACAATTCTAATAACCTGAATGAAAGGAGCCAACTCCTTGAAAACACAATCTATCCAGTCCACTTTTGTTGGACATCTAGTTGATTCTATATTTTTGCTATTATGAATAGTGCTGCAATAAGCATAAGCACACCGGTGTCTTTGACAGAGCAGATTAGGTTCCTCTGGGTATATTCCAGGATTAGGATTGCTGTGTCAAATGGTAGTTCAATTTTCAGTTCTTCGAGAAATCACCAACTGCTCTCCACAAAGGTTGGACTAGTTTACACATAGTAGCATTCCCTTTTCTCCACAGCTTTGCCAACATCTATTGTTTTTTGACTTTTTAATGATAGCCAGCCTGACCCGTGTGAGATGGTATCGCATTGTAGTTGTATTTCTCTGATAATTAGTGAAGCTCAGATTTTTTTCATATGTTTGCTGGCTAATTGTGTCTTTGAGAAGTGTCTGTTCTTGTCTTTCACCCACTGATTAAGGGGTTAAAGTTTGTTTGTTTGTTCCTGTTAATTTGTTTGAGTTCCTTGTAGATCCTTGATGTTAGGCATTTGTCAGATGCATAGCTTGCAGATGTTTTTTTCCTGTTCTGTGGGTCATCACTTTATATTCTTGATGGTTTCTTTTGCTGTGCAAAAACTGGGATTTATCACAGAAACAAAAAACTGAATACTACATGTTCTGACATATAAGTGGGTGCTAAATATCTGGCACATGGGCACAAAGACAGAAAGAACAGACACTGAGCACTGCTAAAGGAGGGAGTGATGTGATGGGAATACACAAACACCTATGGTATCATACTCACTACTAGAGGGGGAAAGGGCTTGCATGAAGCTCAAACATCACCTACATACGGTGTGTTTAGGTAGCAAATCCTCACATATACCCTATGACTCTAAAATAAATAATTAGTAAATAAGTAAGTAAGTAAATAAATAAATAATACAATCTATCAAAATTCACACAAGAAAAAATAGATGATCATTTAGGTCTACATCTGTTAAAGAAATGAATTAATAATTAAAAACCTTCTAAAACAGAAAGTACCAAACCAAGATGAGACTATTGATGAGTACTATCAAACGCTTAAGGAAGAACTTAGATCAACTCTTTACTATCTCTTTCAGAAAATAGAAACAGTAGAAATACTTCCTCCCTCACATTATGATACCCGCATTACTCTAATACCAAAATCATTCAAAGACATTGCAAGAAAACTATGGTAGAT